TCTATACCTATCGATAGTTTGAGTGATTTTGCCCTAATTGACTTTCTCAAGACCAATTGGGTATGATAATTTGTGCAAGCAATTGAGGTTCAAGTCGGATATTACTATCTCTAGGTTTAACCCATTAATTGGGGCTATCAATCTCTTGAATATGCCCCAATTCCTTATTGGACCAATTTTCCTAAACTTAGGCTCTCTTTCTCAAGAAGAGCCCAAGTCAAATAGGCATAACTAGTGTTTGCAACCACTAATTAAATATTAAAACCATAAATTAGTCCAAATATCAAACACCCATAGACATCCAAGCCTTAAAACATAAGACTCATCAATTACTCACACTAGGGTTGAGCCACAACCCTAACTAATGGGTCTAGCTACTCATGATAATAGAAGAAAAAAAGAAATAGATGAAGAAAAACCCATAATGTTTAATTACTAACTAAAACTTGAAGATTCAATGATAAAACTATTGTAAAATTACTCAGAATAGTAAAAGGACACTATTCACGAGCGCAACTCTGCTTGAAATTACAACTGATAATGTAAAAATGGGAAAAGAAACTATTTAAACTAGGAGGAATTTTTTGGACAAAATTACCCCGGCGGGGTTAGTGCGGACCGCACAAAATCGAGTGCGGCCGCACTGAGGCTCTTGGCTAAAAACTTCTACTCACTGAACTTGGCCACCGCAGGCCGCACAAAATACATCGTGGCCGCGGTGACTTCTATTGCGGTCCGCACAAAATCAAGTGCGGTCGCAATGAAGCTAATACGGTCCGCATGAAATGCTTTGCAGCTACAATGCTTGAATGTCTGAAATGAGCACTCTCTGATCTTCCTCTTTCCGGACTGCATAGAATAGAGTGCTACCGCAATGGCCCTGTTACACTGTGCTTGGACTTGTTCTTGGTACTTGTGCATGTTTCACTCCTTTTTGAGCTGGTTTTGACGAATTATCACCTTGTTGACCAAACCCTGCAATCAAGTAAAATATGTAAGCCTTTGGGACTATTTTGTACACATTTCTAATCAAAACTCGAGTAAGAAGGAGTGTACAATGCATCGTAATCCCTAGTTATCATAAGTCAAGGTCCAAATACCATAATATTACATGCAACCACTTTGGTAAGGCACATTAAAAGATTTTACCACAAATTGAAGCAAGACATTAGAGAAGGAAAGAAAGTTAAAAATATCGAGAATAATATTGCTTCTATTGTTCGAGATGACCTTCTTTTTGCTTATGATGAAAACATCATCAATTTGGTATCCCATGAGATGAGCTAGATAGTAGATTCTGGAGCTACCTCACGTATCACACCAAGAAAAAACTTTTTCTCATCTTATACTCCTGTTGATTCTGGAGTGTTAAAGATGAGCAATGCCAGTGAAGTTAAGGTGTTTGGTGTTGGTACAGTTTGTTTGAAAACTGATAATGGTTCAACGTTAGTTCTTCAAGATGTCAAGCATGCTCCAGAATTTCCTTTCAATTTGATCTCGCAGGAAGATTAGACGATGAAGGTTACCATAATGTCATTTTTAATGGCCAATGGAAGCTCACCAAGGGCTCGTTAGTAGTGGCTCGAGGAGTCAAGTCTGGTCTTTTATATATGACACATGGTTCTATTCTTATTGACTCCATAAATCTGGTGGAAAATGATACTTTATCAGAATTGTGGCATAGAAGATTGAGTCATATGAGCGAGAGGGAAATTACGTATTTGACTAAGAAAAGTTTTCTTTCTGGAGTGAAACAAGCAAAGCTAAAAAGGTGCATTCATTGTTTAGATGGCAAACAGAAAAGGATTTTCTTTCATAGTCATCCTTCCTCAAGAAAGCCCAATTTATTAGAGATTGTGTGGTCCTTTTAAAATAAAGTCAAAAGGTGATGCACTTTACTGTGTGACCTTCATTGGTAATCATTCTCGTAAGCTCTGGGTATATCTTTTGAAATCTAAAGATCAAGCACTTGGCGTGTTTAAGGAATTACAAGCCTTAGTTGAGAGACAGACGGGGAAGAAATTAAAATGTATTCGCACTAACAATGATGGTAAATATTGTGGTCCCTTTGATAATTATTACAATGAACAAGGAATTCGTCATTTGAAAACTCTGCCCAAGACGCTTCAATTGAATATTTTGGCAGAGAGGATGAATAGAACTCTAGTTGAGAGAGTTAGATGCTTTCTTTCAGAGGCTAAACTTCCAAATATATATTTGGGCGGAAGCACTTAATACTGTTGCCTATGTTATCAATTTGTCTCCTACTGTTGCTTTGGATGGTGATGTCCCAAACAGAGTTTGATTTGACAAAGATATTTTTTATGATCACCTGAGAGTGTTTGAGTTTAAATCTTGTGTACATATTCCTAAAGATGAGAGATCGAAACTGGATGTCAAAACTAATCGGTGCATTTTTGTCGGTTATGGTCACGATGAATTCGGGTATCGTTTTCATGACCCAGTTGATAATAAACTTATTAGAAGTTGTGATACAATATTCTTTGAAGACCAGTATAATGAAGATATTGACAAAAATGAGAAGATAGATTCTCAGTGTAATGAGCGCTTAGTTGACATTGATTCGGTTTCTATTACTAAGGCATCTATTGCACATGAAGGAACCCAAGATAATAATGAAGATAGTGATCAAGATCAAAATGATTATTATGGTGTGGATGTTATGGATGCTCTCGTTGATGAAGTTGTGGTTGATCAACAACCAATTCATGCTCAGGTAACTACTTCGAATGCTCCAGAAACCTCTCTTAGAAGATCTACAAAGGAGAAGCAAAAATCCATGCGTTATCCTTCTATGAGTAAGTACTTTTGACTGGCATAAGAAAACCTGAGAATTATGATGAAGCCATGCAAGATACTCACAAAGATCAATGGATAGAAGCCACGGAAGATTAGATGAAGTCACTCCATGAGAATGGCACATATGAGTTAGTGAAATTACCGAAAGATAAGAAAGCTTTATCAAACAAATGGATGTTCAGAGTAAAGCAAGATAATCATACCTTTGCGCCCAGGTACAAGGCGATGTTTGTTGTTAAAGATTTTGGCCATAAGAAGGGAGTTGACTATGATGAAATTTTCTTATATTCGTGTGGTTCTAGGTTTAGCTGCAAGTCTAGATTTAGAGGTTGAGCAGATGGAGGTCATGACTACTTTTCTTCATGGTGATTTAAATGAGGAGATTTATATGGCGTAGCCTGAGGATTTCGTAGTTAAGCTTGTAGATAAGCATGCATTTTGCAAAAAATTAGCAGGTATGAAGCTTGTCAATAGTCCCTCTGCTTGAAGACATATTTGGTCCCTTGGCTGGATGGGAAGATTGTTGGGCTCATGCCCATGTTGTCCAGCCAAAGGCCCAATGCTCTAATCCTATTCTCTTTTGATCTCCATTCCTATTCGGAATTGGATTCAGTTTTTGTTCCTATTTAGAGTTGGTTTTGGCTTCAAGAGAAAGCACCACTCATTATCTATAAATAGGACAACCTTGGAGAATTGTTCTATGCTCATTGGTACAAGTCTTTGAAAGATTTAAGCACATAATAGTGGTTTTTGAGAGAGCTTTCATCAAGAGAGAAGAGAGAAGAAAAGTATTTATTTTGCTGCAGATTTTTATCCCGACCAGCCAATTTCAAATTACGTTTTCCAATTCGTTAACCCTTGGATCGGGCTGAAAGTTTGACTGAGTGTTCGTAATATCTTGGTGTTTGATTTGGACAGTAAAGATCGAATTTGGGGGCTCGAAGCATCTGATTTCGAGCCCCGAACACCAACTCCAGTTTTATGGCTTCTCCTCTTTCTTCAATTGATTTGTCATTGCTCTTATTGCTATTGTTGCTCCGTATTTGGCACTTGTTGTGTAGCCAATTTTGATAACTTTTGCAACCCTCATTGTTATACTAGTGGAGCTTTTTTCATCTTTGTGATCACGTGATTTTTACCTTCGATTTGAAGGGCTTTCCATTTGTTGCTCTTTATATTATCTTCTTTATTTTCGGGTTTGCCTCTTCCTCGACATAACAATGGTATCAGAGCGAGGTTCACAACAGGTTCATCTTGGCGGGTTCAGTTCTAGTCGCAAACTATTTGACGATAATCATGATTTTTGTTTGAGAAATTTGACCGGAGTGCTACGCACATTGAGACAAACTTTGCGATGGAGATTTGGTGATGCGGCCTGTTGAGTATTATGTAATGAAGGTGAATCAAGTTTATTTTATTAGAAAATTCAGGCCAAAGGGGAGAATTGTCAGTTGTTGTCCTGATTTTCTCACCATATTTGGTTATCCTATCTATTGAAGGAAAGGATAACATATTTATCATAATTGGATTTTCCTTTTTGTAGAAGGAAATTATAAATCTCTCGTATTTGGCTAGTCCTTTTTCTTGTAGGAAAAGGTTTGGACTTCTATAAATTGAGGATCTTTCCTTCTCATTCGATAACATCCACGTTGTAGCCATAAGGGTTTGAGAGTCATGTTTAGGGAGAGACCTTTATCGGACAAGTGTTAGTGTGTCAATTGTGATTGCCTATGCATGAGGTTGTTCTCTCGATATTTTGTACTCTCTTTTATATAGTGGATTGTTCATCTCTGTCTGTGGACGTATGTCAATTGGCCGAATTACATTAAATGTATGTATCTCTTTTGGTATATTTCTCTTTTATTATCTTATTTATCGTCGTTAAAGATTTAGCTTCCGCATAATACTTAATTTTTTCGGCCCTAACAGAGTTATATTGTCCATTAATCCATCTTTTCCAGTAGACCAAAATAGTGCATTGCTGCTGAATTCTAGACGTCTTTGGTCATGTGCCATGTCTGGTCTGGAACAAGGTTTCCTTACACGTTCATCTGCCTAGATCAATTATCATATTCATGCATTTAATTTATTGACTCCCCATTCCTAAATTTTATGACGTCCCAAACAACTATATATCATAACTGCTCACTGTTTAATTTACGCGTTTCTATCTATTTCTTCTTTGACCTCCTCTATTTTTCTTTCTTCTTTACATATTTGATCTTTCCTTTCATTTCGAATAGAATAACATGGATGTTCATCTCAACTAGTCATACTTCTTTATAGTATTCGCAATTTCCATTGATGTTATCCATAATATCAGAACTTTCACTACTCCCAAATAAATGATTAATATCCATGTTCATGAAATTTTAGTTTTTACCAATGTATAAATCTATAATGAGACATTATAATTCATGTTTGCTACACTTTATCGACTGATCAATAATTTTTGTTTCCCAGTATTCATGCCCACGTGTGCCAAAATTAGTGTGTTGCGCTTGTATATATTCCTCTCTGCCCCATTTATTTTACGCAATATTCCCTTTTTTTGTGCCCCGAAAAAGAATATTTTTCTCTTAGAAAACTATTCTTAATATTCTCATTTTACCTTAGGGGCAAAGTTATGTACTGGCCCAAGGGTGGTCAACTGAATATCCTTCACCGAAAATTTTTATTATGTATAAGATAAAATGTTAGTTGTTATTGATTAAAAAATAGACTTTGAACACCCTTAATTTGAACACCCTTATTGAATTTCTTGGCTTCGCTGCTGTTTTACCCCTAGTAACACGATACATTAGGACTCACATGTTATAAAAGTTCATTCTTGTATAAAAAAAATCACCACACAACTAAAAGAATAATATTGGTAGTTGAATATATATGACTTACATATCAAATAAGTATATATCTTTTTAAATATCGTAAATTTGTGCTGTCAAAAGCCTTGGCATAAAATGAAATAGAGAAAAATTATGTTTGTTCAAATGCCTGTTAATCCACCAAAGCAACAAACCTTTGGTCACTGTAATTACTACCCGCTGCTCCTACCGCCCGCTCTGTAATCACTTTCATTGTTAGGCATTTTCTATTGTACAAGCATTTACTCCTACCTCATTTTTCACTAGCTAGTTGATGGACCAACATTATTGTTTTTGCTATAAATTCCATTTCCATTATCACCACATGCCCCCCGTCCTTGTTCCACGAGATAGCAAACCAAAATGTCAAAGCAGCTCCTACTCTTCTTCCTCACTATTCCCTTCATCTTTTTTTCTTTAGCTCTACCAATTATCGGCCAAAGTATTCCTCCATCACAATCACCTTCCATCGCATGCAAATCCTCACTTTACCCAAAACTCTGTCGATCCCTTCTCTCTGCATTTCAGCATTCTCCTTCTAACCCAAATGACTACAGCAAGTTCTCTGTGAAGCAATGCCAGAAAAATGCCGGCAAATTGTCCAACTTAATCGCACATTTTCTTACAACCCAGAAAGGGAGAGCACTATTTGTTAACACCAAAGAGATTAGTGCTTTAAATGACTGTCACCAGCTCTCTGAGCTCACAGTCGATTACTTAGAGTCCATCTCCGACGAGCTGAAAGCGGCTGACGGAGCCACAACTTCCGACGCTTTAGTTGGAAAAATTCAGACATTGTTGAGTGCGGTGGTGACGAATCAGCAGACGTGTTATGAAGGACTGAAAGAAGCAGGCAGTAGCATGGTGGCGGAATTGTTGGCGCCGCTGAGCAACGCGGCGGAAATCTACAGCGTGTCCCTTGGGCTGGTGGCGCATGCATTGGGACGCGTAAGGAAACCCAGAAAAACTGGCGGATTGTTGGCTGAGCACAGAGGATTGATGGAGGAAGAGTACTGGGCACGAGATTCAAGATTGATGGCTTCCAAGGTAATCCCATGCCTAGTTATAATAGAGTAGATTTTTACACCATCTGTATCTTAAAAGGTAAAATTATAATTCATGCAGTAACCTAAAAATTACATTACAATAGGTTAAATCATACCAGTAGTGTAATTTTTAAATTTAGTAATGTATACAAGTTATATGAGTTATTTCGGCCATGTCAAATAGCACAAACAAATATTTTTGGTCATTTATTTTTCTGCCTTCGCATTGATTATTCCACCGCCCGCTATTATTGAGTCAACCATTGCTAGATCTTTACTGCAACTGCTGTAAGAATTTAATGAACTTTAGTAATGTACTCGGATTTTAAGATAGTACTCATAAATAAAAGCTACTTAGCCAAAGTAACCTTGGGCATAGGAGAAAGGACAGATAAAGACATTAAAGAATATTAGTAGTACTTGTGGAATATCTTTCTTGGTAGATCTTGTTTGGGATATATGATGGAGAAATAATCTCATGCGATCAAATTACATTTGAATTAAAAAAATGAACATACAAATATATCTTAAGTTTTATTTATCAATCTTTCATAAAAAAAAAATCACATTACTAAAATAACAGTTATAATGAAAACAAAACACGGTAACTTACTTTTATCTTGTAATCACAAATTTTGTCTCCCTTTTTCTATTGACTAGTTATAAGTTGGTTGTGAAAGACATAAGTTAACCTACGGAAAGATCAACAGACTAACAGCGTATTTTGATGCTATTTTCTATATGGAAAAAGAAATAGTTGGTAGATCTTGTTTTGGAGAACATCAATCCTGCAATATGTAACTGACTCTCTTTTGTCTTCTGCTCACAACTAGCTCTAAGGATGAAGTGGTAGTTTTGTCTCTTTCTCGTTTCCTATTGAATGGCCTGAGTAGCCACAGTCCACTTGTTATTAAAAATGGAAACTACAAGTACTACCATATTTATTTCACAACTAGGGAACTTTTAGTAATCTATAATTAGTTTATATAAAAGAAATAAAAAATTAACTACAAATATTGATAAAATCCCAATATAAATTTTTAGTAGAATTAGAGCTTTGATAAACTACATTTTTTTTTTTATCAAATTTTTAAGAAAATATTTCGTATATTTTGTGAGTGGGGAAGGTTAATAGAGAAAAAATCGGAAATAAGTTTTTATTTCTCTTTGCTTTTTGTTTTTATTTTCTTTCAGTTGATCTTCTTTTACTTTTTCTTTTCATTTCTCAATCAATCTAAAATGCCTCTATTATCTACTGCCGCTCTATCCTCTATTTTTTTATCTTTTTATTTTCTTTTTCTCCCTCTGTTACTTCCTTTATTAATTATTTTTCTCTTTCTCCCTAGTCCCTTCTCCTATAGTTACTCCAAAAAATAAAAACTTTTCTCTCTTTTTAATGTTTATAAATTTTTATTGTTTCCTCTTCATTTCCTTCAAAATATACAATAAAATTTTCTTTTATGTCAACATTTTGGTCACTTATCATATAAATAGAGAAAGATAACTATCCAGAAGAGAGAGAACTTAGTGGAGAATAGTCGAAAAAAGAGAAAACCTTATTGTTGCATAGTAATTTACATATAAGAAATACAACAACAACAACAACGACCCAGTATAATCTCACAAGTGGGGTCTGGGGAGGGTAATATGTACGCAGACCTTACCCCTACCCCGACGGGTAGAGAGGCTGTTTCCAGGAGACCCTCGGCTCAAAAAAGCAACAGGAGCCGATATATTAGTACCATAAAAATGCATAATAAAATAACAGCAATATAAGAGATATGAAATACAGAATACGAAATACGAAATACAAAATAGATGGCTGGTATAGTAAAACTAGCAGGTAAAGCCCTGCATCAATAGACGACCAATGACATTCTTAGTCTAACTCCTAACTGGCTAGTCTCACTCTATTGATATAAGAAATCAGGCAAAAATATTTAAGATAAAAAAAGTTATTTTACATAATTAGTTCCGAAAGAAGGATGAACAATAATTTCATGTGAATTTTAAGAGTAATAGATTAGCTTTGTTTTCCTGGGAGCAATGCCATTTGACAACCATGAAACAAAGTTTTCATAGTTTTGTTTATATTTGACGATAAATTCTTAGAAATTATAATAGTCGAAAAGCCTTTGTGGGATAAAAAGACCTAGAAATTAAAGTTAGAAAAAGAAGAAAGCATATGAAAATCAATAGAAAAAAATAGAGTCCAAAAACTCAACCAAAGAGATAAAAAGGAAGGAAATAGTTATTTAACTCGTATACTACAACTCTTTGTTATCCTCATCTACTACACATTTTTATTGTATCACGACTTTACAATTCCTTCTCTATTACAGTTTCAATAATACATAGACAATTGAAAGGGAGGAAAAATGAACCATGTATTGAGATAAAAAAGCAAAATAAAAAAATAACTATTTAGTTTTAGAGAAGTGTCAAACTTATGAACTTGACTCTCGTGATAGCATAATGTCAAGTTCTGCCGGCTGGTTCTTTTTGCAATTTCACTCATTTGAGGTAGGTTAAGAATCTGAGGGGAGAATGCTGTGCTGCAAAAATGGAGTGATCAATTTATCACTTATAGCCAAATATATATTCGTTAGAGCAGTATCTTCATATTCCAAACAACTATTTTTTCTTGGTACAACAAACTTATTCTTCAACCAATAAAATATTGTATTTGAAAAATAAAAAAAGAGAGTAAGAAAACATTGCATAACTATAATTAGCATCCTTTAAATTAGTTTAGCTGATAACATGCAATGTAAAAAGAAAGAAAAAAAATAGTAGTACTTAACAGAAAAAAAGTAAAAAGGCAAAAATAAAAAGAGAAAAAAAATAAACCTCCCTGGCATGTTACTTGAGAGTGAGAGTGTTGTTCACATTTTATGGACTATGGTCAGACTCGAAATTTGTGAGGGTTACCCAAAACAATGGAGGTATGAAATTATTTTATATAGAGAAGGTGAAGATATGAAATTTAGTCATAAGGGAGCTGAAGAGCTTCTTTTTTTTAAAGGCAAATAGATGTAAAGGTTTTTTTTTGGTAACTCTTGAGACATAATGAGATGTAATAAATTAATAAGATAATTAATGTTGAATTATAAAAGAAATTGAATGAAAATGATTTTGGGACTCTTTGTGCCATATACGTTCCAGCTTGTTTTTAAAAAAGGAAAAGGCAAATAGATATGAAGGTTTTTTTGTAACTCTTGAGACATAATGAGATGTAATAAATAGAATAATTAATATTGAATTATAAAAGAAATTGAATGAAAATAATTTAAGAACTCATTGTGCCATATACGTTCCAGTAAAATGATGATAATGGTCTTAAAGGTTTATAATATTAATTAGGTACTAAAGAGAGTGATAAACATTGAGTAATTGCAAAAGATTAACATACAAAATTAAGTGTATTAATTTTAAAGAGTTCATTGAAAGAAATTTGGATTTTTTGACCCAAAAAATCCAAAAACATAAGAAAAAAGATAAGTGACAATCCTAATTTTAGAGAGGTGTCACGTCATCTTTTTTATTCCCAACTTTATATATATATATATATATATATAGATTCTAAAATGGCTGTGTGTTACTGGCTGCATTTTTCTAGGAAGACTGGAAACTAAAGAAGAAAAGAAACTTGACAAACGTAAAAATTTGCACCCAATTCTTGACTTTATAGTTGAAGGAAAATCCTCTCCCAAAAAAGAAAAAAAAAAGATTAGTCTGTGTGAGTGCTAGTAAATTTCACTTTTGCCCCTATACTTATGGCTGCAAAGTCAATAATGTCCCTACTATACCTTGGCTCCATATTGGATTGCATTCCCAACAAATCTGTCGCAGTTTAATCCCTACATGGTTCGTTCCAAAAAGAATGATCCATTTTTAAATTTGAAAATAATTTAGCTTGAATTCTCAATTTTACCTTTAGTAAAAAACTTTTATAACTACACAAATACAGTGGACCTCTTTTTGAGTTGTTTAGGATCACAAATTTCAAAAGTCATTCATTTTTTTTTAAACGTCGTGCCCAGTCAAACAGGTTCACATAAATTGGAACAGAAGGAGTATATCTATGCGTGAACCCTTTAAGATCTAAAGTTAATATAGCTCATTTCCTTTTTATCAAGTGTAATCCTAATTTGTTTAAAATAAAAATTAAAAATTAAGACCGAGAAAAGAAATTAATTACTCGTGCAAAAAAATTGCTAGATTAATTGTTAAACAAGAGAAAAGGTTTGTCAAAAAATGAAGAAAAAGGGAAGTAAAATGATGGGATATTTAATCGGTTGACTATCTGATTACAAATTCAGGAACTTCAATGGGAAATTTTGTCCACAGACTAAAGTTGGGGAGGTCCGACTACATCTAATGGGCCAGTTAAATGTGTACATTCTCATGTCTTGGTCTTTCTTTAGACACTATGGAAGTCTTAAGAAAATGCACTCTATATATATGTATTGATTGAGCATAAAATTCTAATTATATTCATCTAATTTTGAAAGGTAAAACTTGTTTTGGCATAACGTACCATACATTGATTTTTTTTTGAAAATGTAATAAAGATTATGTTAAAGAAATTTTTTTTGGTTAATTTTGTTAAAGAATAGAACCAAGAGTGATGAATCGTACAACCATTGTTATGCACTGATGTAGCATAAATTATGATTAATTCTTGTGACTCATCATAACTTTGTATCAAATTAAATAATTTATATGAGGGAGGCACTAAATTAGCGTGTATGAAAGTTTGTAAGAAGAAATTGCTTGTTTTAGCACCAGAAAGGAGAAAAAAAACAAGTGAAATAAACTCCCACGAATTATGAAAGAAACTCATGAGCATAAAGATTGTCGGCATCTTGAAAATTATGGTCCTTGCCTCCTTTCAAACAAAAAACTGGGAAAACTTTGCTATAATTATTGTCTCATTTACTAGCAATATTAGTACCACATGGCACATGTCCTTTTGAGATCTAAGCTCCTTGACTCGTTCCTTTAAATTTTGGCCTGTTTATTTGAAGGGTTAAAGAAAAGGGTAGGAGGTCATAAATTCTTCTTGAGCTTTATTCTTATGGATAAACAAATTTCTTCTATGTGCACAATTTTTTTTGAAACAGGAACTATTTTGCATGTCAAATATTTATTCCTATAAGAAAAATTAAAGAAAATGATGTAAGAAAGGTGTCGTAAATAGGTTAGATCAACCTATCATTATCAGTGCTAGTAATACGAAGTTATGATGTTTTGGGGCTTAAACTTCAATGAATTACCAAGGTAGTCATAAGAGATCAAAATAGCTACTCAAAGAGATTGAGGTTATATTAATGGTACTATAAATTGTGGCAGATCACATATGTACATAACTTTCATATACCTTTTTGACTTTTCATGTTTAACACGAATCTGTTTAATGAAAAATTCCAAGAAAATTTACACACTTAAAAGCAGGTTAACCAAGCATCGGAGAGGTCTCATCAAAGGGGTGGAAGGATTCTTGACGAGTTGGTAGAAAATGGTGTTCACATTAATCAAACAGTAACAGTTAGTCCTTATGGTGGCTGCAACTTTACATCAATAGGTGAAGCCATTGCATTTGCGCCTAATAACTCGATGATTGAAGATGGCTACTTTCTCATCTACGCGAAGCAAGGATACTATGAGGAGTATGTTGTCGTGCCAAAGAACAAGAAGAATATTATGTTGATTGGAGAAGGAGTTGATCTCACTGTGGTTGCTGGTAATCGAAGTGTCATAGACGGCTGGACAACCTATAATTCAGCAACCTTTGGTAAGTAATTAGCCTTTTACAAATTGACAAATTCATCCCAAAATGTCATGTTTAAGTATTACTACTACATTTTTGCAAAGGGCGAGCTAGGTATGAAATTATTTTTCGTGTGCAGCCGTTTCAGGGGAGCGATTTGTAGCCATAAACATAACCTTCAAGAACCTAGCTGGTCCTTGGAAGCACCAAGCTGTAGCTCTAAGGAACAATGCGGACCTTTCCACATTCTATAGATGTCGTTTTGAGGGCTATCAAGATACTTTGTACACGCACTCTTTAAGACAATTCTACAGAGAATGTGATATCTATGGTACAGTGGACTTCATATTTGGCAATGCAGCTGCAATATTCCAAAACTGCAATATGTTTGCTAGGAAACCAATGCCAGATCAGAAGAATATTTTCACAGCACAAGGCCGAAGTGATCCCAACCAAAACACTGGCATTTCTATCCAGAACTGCACCATTCAAGCTGCACCTGATTTGGCTCAGGAGATGAATGGCACGTTAAGTTTTCTTGGCCGGCCTTGGCACAATTACTCTAGGACTGTTATCATGCAGTCGTATATAGGAGATGTGATCGCGCCCGTTGGATGGTTAGAGTGGAATGGGACGAATGGACTCGATACCCTTTACTATGGGGAGTTTGAGAATTATGGACCAGGGGCTAATACAACAACAAGAGTACAATGGCCTGGTTATAACTTAATGAATGCTTCACAAGCAATGAACTTTACTGTCTATAATTTTACTATGGGAGATACTTGGTTGCCCTCTACAAATGTTCCTTTCTCTCAAGGCCTGTAGTTGGAATTCCTGTATAAATCAGATAGCTTTATGTACCTTTTGTTCCAATTCTTTTCTTCAATTTTATTCTTTAACTTAGTGCTTAGATGAAATTTCACAGAGTTTCACTGATTACTAATGCTCTTGTTAGTGTAACTTTTTCAACTCTTTCTGATGTGTGTTTTTACATCATGTAATTTTACATTTGTCAACACAGAAGCAACGAAATATAAATGTATTTGTATATGCTCATAGAAAACGTTCATGTATTCAATGATCTCAGACAATTAACAGAATTCAACCAAGAAACTTCAAGTTAAGAGGTGAAGTGATAATACGTCAACATCCAAATCTTCTAATATCAACTCTCCTCCAAAAAAATTCTCTATTTCTTTTTTTCACTTATATACGCAGGCATCCAAATAATTAATTTTCCAAATTCTGTTTGTTTGAGCTGTTTTCGGTGAAAAATTTAGTGGAACTATTTTTTTTTTTTGAAATTTCCAAACTCATTTTGTTGAGTTTAAAAGATTTGAAAAAATGATTTTGAATCATACAAAAATAGCTCAAACAAACAGAGTTTGCAAAAAGAGACTCAAAATCCTATTTTGCAAATTTTGTTTTGAAAATATTCAAACAAACGCCTAAAATTCTCCAATTATGGCATGGATTACCTTTTTACCTGTCGAGCTGTAGCCTTAAGGACTTTTTTGAATCAAAAAGAGGGAAATAAGACAAATGAAAAGAAAGCAAATAAAGTTAAAGAAAAGGAAATAATGCATAGAATGATGGGAAGTTTCTTGTATCAGAAAAGATTTGGACGGTGCTGTAATATAATGCAAAGTTTGAAACTTAACGCATGAGAATTTTTTGGTTATTGGATATTCCGAGGTCCATTCCCATCATATTTATTTTGTATCTTGTACCAGAAATATCAAAGAATTGCGAGAAATATTACAGAATAAAATATTAAGATATACTCAAGTGACACTTTCTCTTGAAATACTCTAGAGATAAGTTGGCATATTATCTCTCTGAACCAAAAAAAAAGAAAAAAGAATATTATCTCTAATTTGTACTATCTTAGTATATTCTTTGTAATAGTCGACTTGCTTTTTGCGATTCTTTGACGTAGGTATTATTGTCGTAAATTATTGTCTCTATATTCCTTTCATCATTAATTAATTCTTCTATTATAAAAAAGAATAAACATAAAAGCGCAAAATATTCTTATCGATCTACTTGATATTCCGGTCTTCGTCCAAGTAAAATTACATCACTGATGATTTATTAGGCTAAGAGTATAGAGAACCTCAATTTAACAGAACGAGAGATTCAAAACTATTTGAGTACCAAAAGATAGAAGAAGAAAAACTCTTTAGAAAGGAGATGCTCAATTGATGTTAAAATACTTTCAAAAGCATAAATTTAAGAATCAAAATATCTTTAATGCAATTAACTCCTATAAATTAGATAAAAGGCAATTATATTTGTTTCTCAAGTATATGGGATAAAGAATACAACCTCTCCAAAAAATTTATAAGCTACTCTAGACTAAATTAGGCATCAACTCAAAAATTGTCACGACCCAAAATCTAACCATGGTTGTGATGAAATATAAATATAATATAGAAAAATGTGGAAACGAGCCCCAAACATCGGGGTGTCACTAAGTCATGAACGTCTAAAACTATAAACTAAGATATATAAACTGTCTAATTGTCCAAAAGAAGAAATGACAAGAGGAGTAACAAGGTCCTGCGGACACTAGCAGCTACCTTGCAGTCTCCAAAGATAGCCGGCCTGAACTCAACGATAGTCGCGCTCTAACTCACCTGGATATGCACATAAAGTGCAGGGTGTAGTATGAGTACAACCAACTCAGTAGTAACAGAAATAATTAAGGAACTAAGCAGTAGTGACGAGCTAAGTAAAACGGTCCAATTATTTATTTTCACAATTTAAAAAATAAACAGAAATAAACAGGCAAATTCCATAACTCAGTAAATGCCACAAAGAAATTTAACAGATGAATGCAGCAACAACACAAATAAATATAATCTCACAGCAGTGTCACTCCATCACTGAGCACTCGCACTCAACACACTCAAAACACTCAATACTCTGCGCTCACTAGGGGTGTGTACTGACTCCGGAGGGGTTCCCAAAGCCCAAGCGCTAAGCACAAACAACTCATGTGCCATCATATCAATACCTGGATCCGCACGGTCAACTCACGTGCTATGCAGACAACTCACGCGCTATGGTATCAATACCTGGACCCGCACGGTTAGCTCACGTGCTACGCGGACAGCTCACGGCGCTGTGATATTAATATCCTCAAAACTAGGCACTCGACCTTACTCAGTCATGTACCTCTCCAGCCTCACAATGCACCATCAATAAGGGGATACAGCCCACATCAAGTATCACAACATATCAGCAAAATAATAGAGACTGAGGTAAACATGTACAATAATTTCTATGACTGAGTACAAATAACGTGAGCATGAATGAAGCCTAATTATGATCTCTAACGTGAAGGCAAACAAGTTCACCAACAAGTAAAAAGCATAAACACAGATAATAGTTATTAGGCCTCACAACCTCACGGGACGGACCAAGTCTCAATCCCTCGATTATACACCCACGCGCCCGTCACCTAGCGTGGGTATCACCTCCAAACAATCACATGATATCAAATTCTCCGAATTTATACCCTCAAAGACAGAGTTAAAACTGTTACTTACCTCAACAGCGTAAAATCCTACTTCGGGATGTCCTCGACCCTCGACTCGGTCTCCAAAAGCTATGAATCTAACCATAATCAGAATAATTTTATCAACATGGCTAGAGAATTGAATTCCACAATAAAAACTATAAAAATAGGCCAAAATTCGAAATCGGCCAAAACCCGACTCTCGGGCCCATGTCTCGGAATCAGTCAACAATGGCAGAATCAAAACCCTCATCCTCTCCCGAGTCTAACCATATAAAATTTATCAAAATCGGACTCCGTTTGGTCCCTCAAATCCTCAGATAAAACTCTTCGAAACTCAAACCCTAACTCCTTCAAGTTCACTTTGAAATCATCAATCAAATCTCAAAACAAAGATGGATTCATGAGATATAACCAAAACCGAGTAGAGAACACTTATCTTAATCCATATGGTGAAAATTGCCTCCAAAATCGCCCAAATTCGAGCTCCCCAACTTAAAATATGACCGAATGAACAAATTCTTATTTCATATATTTTTTTGCCAGCTATCTGCTTCGTTTCTCATGCCAAACGATCCCGAAACGCATTTTTTATGCCTCCAATGGTTTTCTTGTAAAATTTTAGTCAAGTTAGGCTTTTGAATCACTCAATTTAACCTTATAATGAAGGAGATATATTGGTTCCAATATTTGCAAATAGTGCCGATTTTTAAATACGCTGTCAGCGGCAATTTTGTAATTAATCTGGAAAAAATCTGGCAACTTAATTCTTAATAAAATGACCATAAAATCCTCATACGATGTCCAAATTTGATGATTCTTTTTGCTACAGGTCTGTAATTACGATACAGATCTAATACTTCAATCAAAAAAGAAATCGGAGCTCATTTGTTCAATATGATATCATTTATGCTTGAAGAAACAACGTCGAAACATAAGAAAAACGAGCGGAACACAACCCAAACCTATCTGAAACTCACCCGAGGCCCTCGGGACCTCAACCAATAATTCCAACAAGTCATATATCATTACCTGAACTTAGTCGAACCTTCGGAACACCCAAAACAACACCAAAACACCAAATCAACCTCGGATTCAAGCTTAAGAACTTCTAAACTTTCAAAACTCGCTGACAACTCCGAAACCTATCAAACCACGTCCGAATGACCTCAAATTTTGCACACACGTCACAAATGACACTACGAACATACTCCAACTTCCGAAATTCCATTCCAACCCCCGATACCTAATTTTTCTGATGCCCACCAAAATCGCCAAATTTCTAACTTGCGTCAATTCAAGCCTAATTCTACCACAGGCCTCCGAATTATATTTCGGACACACTCCTAAATCTAAAATCACCCAACGAAGCTAATCGAATCATAAAAATCCAAATCTGAATTCGATTACTCATAAGTCAACTTCCGGTTGACTTTTCTAACTTAGCTTTCTAATTAAGAGACTAAGTGATCATTTCACTCCAAAACTACTCTGAACTCAAACCTACCAACTCGATACAACTCAACACAGCTGAACAACAGATAAAGAAACAAAAATGGGGTAAACGGGCTAAAATTCTCAGAACGACCGACCGGGTCGTTACAAAAATAATTAGCTACAATTATTGTATGTTAGACTAACATTAGTAAATTAGTGATTTCTATTGCTATTTTCTTTATTTATAATAAAAAATATTAAAGAAGTAAACATAATCGATAACTTACCTGTAATAGGCTTTAAAATTACCTAATACTAATAGTGAAGAATTGTTGTAATTAGCATTAACTACGTGGAATAAAATCAAAAAGATATTGTAATTACTAATTAGCGTAATTGAAAAGTGAAAAGTTATTCGTGTTCGTACATATGTTGATATTTTCTTTTTATTCAGTTATATATGCAAGAAATTTTCTTACCCCTTGTCTCTATATAAGGATATTTTAATCAGATTGCCAAAGTGGTGAAGTCATTGCTTTTTTATTTTGACGATATTGCCTTAATATTATGCTAACTTTTACACCATCCTACCATCTTTGAACTCTGGATTTAAATTAACATATTATGTAAAGAAAATCTTTACAGTATAATTTAACATATTCTAGACTTTTACTTGCAATTTCCTTTTCAACCTAACATGTAAATATTACTATACAACTTTCAAACTTTATATTATATCATTAATTATGTCGGAAGAAGAAAAAGAAAAAAAGGGAAGGAAAGAATGATAACCGTATCCGTAATAGCCAACTTTCAAGAATAACAGCTAGATTTGTGATTGCTTGTCAAATAAATTTACTGAGAGAAGAAGCAGCAAAAAGCAGAATCACTGTAAGTCTATTCTTTACTCTGTTTATTGTTTTCTACTAAGAACAAATTCAAAAATAAATGCATTTCTTTTCTTTTTTTTGGTTTCTCTTTCCTTTACTTTTACTTGATCAAGAACTGCGATTGAATTTAGCTGCTTCTTTCCTATATCTGATCATTTTTTCGCCTTTCCCTTCACTTTGGTTGGTGTACTGTTTTCATCTTAATTAATAGCATGGCATTGATTCAAAAGCAACTCATGAATTTTTCACTAACTCAAATGCCAACAAGAATGTTGAATTCAAGATATGAGTCATGAATTATAGTTCATAGGCAATCTTTGGTTGATTTTCTTTTCTTTTTATTCCTCCCTTTTTAAACTAATTCTAGTTCGACAAACATGTTTGGGCTCTTCATTTATACAATTCTAAATTCTTGCTTTCATATTTCTTTATACTGCAATGAAATTGCAATGTTAACTGAAAGTTAGTAGATGAATAGTCATTTTCCTTGGAAGGATAGAATCTTGACTTTGATTGGGGATTCGCTCTTCTTTTTTTTTTTTTTTTCCGAATTTCTGGAAATGTAATTACACTCATCATTTTATATGTGAATTGTAATTTATTGATTAAAATTTTCGGAAAAGATAGTACCTTTATGTTGATAGTGCTTGTGCTGTAGATAAACATCATCATGTTCCCCCCTTGTTGATATTCTTTCTCTAGAAATATTGACCAACGTAGAAGCAACGCCAAGATGCCAAAAAGAACAAAATTCTGTGGCAAAAAGGAAAACCAAACAAAAAGGAAAAATAATTCTGATAGCAATCCTTTATTCCCACCTATATCAAGAAGTCATATATAGATTTTGCTCACTAGTAGTGATTTCATTGTTTTAAAAACTGTTTTTTTTTTCAGCAGCCTGAAAATGATCATGGGAGCAGAAGGTTTTGGTACAAAATCTGCAATTTCTAGGACTTATGCAAATATGGGGTTGGAAGAATATGATAAAGGACATCCCAAGATTCTATCAATTCTAGCTTCTGTTCTTGAGAGAACAGTTCAAAAGAATGAGAAGGCAATGAAGGGATCGAAAGAGAGAGGTGTTGTGACCGTCTTCCACGGCACAAGATCCCCTGTTTTGACAGTTCAGCAGTACATTGAGCGCATTTTTAAGTATTCCAACTGCAGCCCTTCGTGTTTCGTGGTTGCATATGTATACTTGGAGAGATTTCTCAACCTGACTGATTGTTTACTGACATCGCTTAATGTTCACCGGATTTTGATCACTAGCATTGTCTTGGCTGTCAAGTTTGTTGATGATGAGTAAGTATTATTCTAGACATACTACTGCCAATTTTCACAAAGTTCATTGCTATGTATCCTAGCTAGTTTTTGTGCTTTTTCAATAGAATTTCAGATGATGAGTGTTTGATAGAACCTTTGCCAATATCCAGTTACTTTATAATGGAAATGTCTAGCTAAAATTTCGTAGTTTCAAGTGCCATAGGATAATTGACTGTGGAGCGGCTGCTTGCATCCAAAGATCAGGTTCAGATGCCACAGCACTAGTTAACTTGGAACAGTGTTATCAAAGGCACGCTTAAGCTATGAAGCAAGGCTCAAAACATGTTGAGCACTTCGCATCGCTTAGCAGGCACTTCAGTATTGTCATCAAGGCTCTAAGGCATATTTTTCCTTGCCAATGAGTGTAATCCTGAAGAGGCGACAGTAAACAATTGATATTTCACTTTATCATAAATTTTCTTCGATTTCTTTATCAATATATTTGGTATTCATGCTTATAGATATTAGTCTTGGACTATACATATATATTTGTTATTTTCTCCATTTGCGCTTTTCTTCATTCAAGCCCACGTTTTATTTGCGCTTTGCGCTTAAAGCTCCAACAGACCTTAGAGTTTTTTTTTGCGTTTTTCGCGTTTGATAATATTGACTTGTAAACTCTGAATTACGGGAAAGGTGATGGCATAATGTTGTACTTTTCTCCTGAATCAATTAGTGAAACATAAATAAATTGAAGTCCTGATCAATGCAAACAAGAGGCTTGACTTAAGTTGGAATTATAGGTAGTCCCTAATGTTATGTATCAGACATCCCATGATGACAGAATCTGCTTGATAAAATGTAACAAAACCTCTTAACATGGTTAAAACTGTTGGATTTCTTATGAGATTTTCACTCTTTTTTCAGCTGCTACAATAATGCTTATTATGCAAAAGTAGGAGGAATAACCACAGCAGAACTGAACAAGCTGGAGATGAAATTCTTGGCAGCCCTTGATTTCCGATTGCACGTAAGTGTTGAGAGCTTTGATAAGTACTGCTTGCAGCTAGAGAAAGAAGACAATGTGAAATTACAGATTGATCGACCTATCCGAATATTTGCATGGGGAAAAGGTATGATAAATAAAGACATAGTATCAAATTGTTCACCTACAGTTGGAGGATACACTTGTAGAGCTTTCTAAGTGTAAGGATCCAATGGACAAGCCTGAAGATGCAGAGAAAAATCTTCTGAATTGTGTACCTGTCTTTGCAGAATTGATAAGGGATTGAATATTAACTGCTGGTTTATGCCTCAACTGTGACTTTTCTCTATGTTTCATGTCTATATTTAAACTTAGCCAATTCAATATAAGCAAAACTGAAGCCATGAAAAATTAATGATCATCTTCTATAAACCATGTTGCAAAAATTGCAACACTCAAACAACATCTATTGTTTAAAACAAAGTGTCTAAGGAATTTGACTTTGTATAAGCCATATTTTGGCTGCAAACATTAGAGGGATTACTTCAGCTGCTTACTGAGCAGTCAAATATGTTGGTCCAGCTCCCCATTTCCTCGTTTAATTTTTACTAACCTCTCATTATAATAATAAACTGAACACATATGCCCCTGGCCCTGTGATCGAAATCCAAGATGTCTTAACATCATAGGCTACCAGCCGAGGACATTTAGTTAGGAAAACGACAGTGCTAGAATCCCAGAAGCCATAATACATGGACTTAATACGTGTTAGGCATTGAAAGGTAAGAAGTTTGTTCCAAACACCAGGTTGGTCTAATCCGAACCAGAAAAAGTAGAAAGATGGCTGAAAAATGGTTGAAGCTGGAAGTGGACAGCAGGGAGGGTGGTTACCGCCATGGTTGCAGGATTTCACAGTGCCAATCTAAAGTCATATTCAGTATTATATTTCTGAAACAAAAACAAGCCATCGGCAGGATGATGATGGGGTGTTTCAATTAAAGGGGTTTCTCCTATTTTAGTTAGTATACAAAAACTAAAAACTTTGCTGTTTGTTTACTGGCTCTTCTTAACAATCTTCCTCCGAATAAAAGCTTTGTTGCTTTTACGAGAAACCCATTATTCATTCGGTGCTGGCCTGCCAAGCCTGTTTTTTCGCAAATGTTTTACGATCAACTAAAAATGCAAATAAATAAAATAAAAAAGTGAAAATTCACCAACAGATGCAGCAATTGTGTAAAGCCAAGTGTTTTAGGAATTTGACCTGGGCAAACTTCAAATTATTTAAGATGCTCTTGTTTAAAAGCCAATGGTGCAATGGTCCAACCCTTGTCCATTTTCCGCCCTCTTCGTTTAATTGGTACTGAGCTCTCCTTGTAATAATAAACCGAACAGCCATTCCTCTGGCCCTGGTGTCTATATTCGAGATGCCTCGTGTGCCCGGTCCTAACATCTTTTTTTTTTTTTTTGCTAGGAAAA